GGGAGAGAGAGAGAAAAAATGAGAGAGAGAGAGAGAGAAAAAAAATGAGAGAGAGAGAGAGGGTGAGGGCTAGACAAAGAGGCAAGTAGATAGTAAGCGGGAGGTGGATCTGTAGATAGATGGGTTAGATAGATGGGTCGATACCTAGGCAGATAGATATACAGATTGACAGGCAAACAGACCGATTGCATAGTGGATAGAGAGAAAGAGAGGGGGAGAGAGAGAGAGAAAGAGGGAGCATGGATAGATAGATAGTTTGGGTGGAAATGTGGGTGGGTAGGATAGATTGGTAGCTGGTTCTACACGATAAATAAAGACAGTACACAAATACAAGGAAGGAAGGAAGGAAGGAAGGAAGGAAGGAAGGAAGGAAGGAAGCAAGGAAGCAAGGAAGCAAGGAAGCAAGGAAGCAAGGAAGCAAGGAAGCAAGGAAGCAAGGAAGCAAGCAAGCAAGCAAGCAAGGAAGGAAGGAAGGAAGGAAGGAAAGAAGGAAAGAAGGAAAGAAAGAAGGAAGGGAAGTATGGGAGGAAGGAGGAAAGCGAGGAAAGCAGAAAGGGCATAAAGAAAGAAGAGGAAAGACGAAAGAAAGAACGAGGGAAAGAAAAGGAAACATGAAACGAACTAAAGAATAATTAGCGAAGACAAACAGGACGAGGAGAAGATGTAAAGTTTTCACCCTTGGGGTTCGGCAGGGTCTAGTAAGGCTTCTTCCATCAACTCACCTATCTTCAGCCGCATGCTCCGGCCAATTTAACCTTCTGGTAATTACATGGGTGGAGCTGGGACAAGAGAGGGCATTCAAATTCTAAGCCCACGCTTGGTAGCCAGGGGATGGAGAAGTTAAGAAAAAAGATGAACCTTGATCCTGCTAGGCTGGGACGGTATTGCTGGAGAGGCGAGGTGATTGCAGGTGTCGAGAGCGCTTTCCGCTTGGTTTTTACGGTAGGAACGGGAAAAACGGGAAGCTGGACGTTGTCCCCAATCCATTATTTCGTGGCGTGTAAATGGAGGGTTGGGCGGTCTCTCACTCTTTTTCCTTCCACCATCCCTTTTCCTTTTTAATCTCCGATAGGGAAGGAGAAAGAGACGAACCGCTGCCTTGTGCCGGACTCATGTGTGAAAAACATTTACACGCAAGTGTATCCTCCCTAATCAAACATGTTATTGCATTCTCAATTGGCGTGCGTAGCAGCAGTTGGCGGGCAGGTGCGGCAGTGGTCGGGCTGTAATGGGCTGTAGCCTTTTTGGTCTTCCCACAGCCATGTACCTCTGAATGCTTTGCAGCCAGGAGGCAGCTGTTGATGCTGACTCTGACCCCGAGGGCGCAGCTTTCGACGCGGAGCTCAAGGATGGCATGCTTTCGTCGGTGGAGCACATCGGACTTCTGGTCATGCTGTGCCCCAGGCAAACCCCAAAACCGATTGACCGCACCCATGCCGGGCTGATCCGCAGGAATTGTTGGCGAAGAAGGAGGCGGCGAAGACAGAGGAGGATTTCGACAAGGCCCAGGATCTCAAAGAGAAGGCCAGGGACGGGTGAAGCCGCCAGGCAGACTGGTGGCTGGGCCAGTTTGAGTCGACGTGCATGTTCCTGAAAACCAGGAGGCGACCCTTTGCCCACGAACCTTTTGAGTCGCCGTTTTGCATACCCCGCTCCGCACACATGACACACGCAGAGAAACACCACACAAACCAGCTCAAAACTTGCGCATTTGTCGGAGGGGTTTGCCAAACAAACCCGCGGACGCTCGATTCGAAAATTGGAGCCAGGGCTGTCATTCGAAGAAAGCAATCGCTTTGGATGCCGTGCTGCCAATGACAGTTGGGAAAATCAGACTATGTCTGGGGTTGTTAGTGAGAAATTCACATTCACGTGTCATCATGTTTTGCCGCGCCCTCAATGTTAGTTTGTTTTTCTGAAGCCCCACTTCAAGCCGAGCGGTGCCCAATTGTGCATAGTTAGGCACTGGCAGGGCTCACAGTTCTGATGAGGCGAATTGTTTGTCAGAGTCATGCTGAGCCAAGTTTGAGGGCAAACACGGGGCGATTTATCATTTGCAAGGGCTCGGAAGGCGAACAAGAAGGCCACGCCAAGCGCAATCATGACATTCAACCGGCCCTTGAAGCAGGCCGATGAGTTGAAGGTGAAGGAAGTCGCGCGGCTCAAGGCGGCGGCCACTCATCCAAGGGCTGCGACAGGAGTCAGCTCGGATGCCCCTTGCACCAGCATTTCAAAGGAGGTTCCTCCACTCAACAATGCCCAAATGCCACAAAGGGCTTTTTTGGACAGAAAGCCCCACAGTTTGGATGCCTTAGGCGTTTGAGAATGTCGCTGAGGAGAGGCGTCACAAATCCAGCAGCCTTGGAATACCCATCTCCGATTGGCAACCCGTTCAATGGCCCTTTTTCCCTTAGCTGAGTGGGCCCCTACTAAGCTGCAAGAGTCACCAGGGGCATGGGGCCAATGTGGCGCATGGGCTTCCTAAGGCCCACTGAAAGGGCGGTAGCCATGGATGTTTGGACTTGTGACTTTGAGATACTTCGAGAGGGAAGGTAGGGGGAAGGTAGGGGAACTGAAGTATTGGCGCAGTTTAGGTTGTGCACCACATAGGGGACATATTCAGCCTTGATATGCCTTTGTGGCGATGCAACTCTTAAACGCTTCTGGGCATGCAACCTTCCATACCTGCAAGCCTCCTAACCTGAACATGTCGTTGAATCCAGGCACTGCTCCGCTTTTTGCGTCTTATGATTTTTGAAGGTCGGCTTGGCTATTCGCAAAAGCCGTCTTCTCAAGTATGACCGAGCTCTGGGGATGGCGTCCCTTACCGCCGAGGAATCGCTTGGACTTGCGCTGCAAAGCCAAGGCTCCCCAATCCATTCACCAGCCCTTCGAAATGTTCTCGGGCATGGGGCCAGCGGGTCTGGACAGGCTCGGAAGGATGAGGCGCTCAAGGAGGAGAAATATTTGGAGGCGGGCGCCGCCGCGCCGCGCTGTTTGGGCATTCGGAGTGCCACCATTGGCGACGGAACCCTCCTTGTGATCGATCCGACTGGAACACAAGGCTTCGGTCATGTGATTTCAATGCCATGGGTAGTGGTTGAGCCTGCATGAGTTTATAGAGCGTGTTGCATGTGTCTATCGCAATTGGATGTGCGCGAGAGTCTGGCGTACATTTTGAGTCATGTTAGCACCTCGAACCTAGATTTTCTGATCGTTAGCCTTGTTTTCAAGGAAGTCAGTTGTAGAGACCGATTTGGCGGCTGACGGGTACTAAAGTGCATTTTTGCGGCCCTTGGAAAACGCGCTTCTCTCATCGTCGGCCTTGAAATCAGTTCATTCTAGTTCTCCAATCGCTGAAACTCGGAAGCGTCGCGGAAGCTGATATTTGAAAGACAGCACGCGTTTACATCCCGCGCTTGTGATAAGTAGACGTAGCGTGGTTGGCTTTTTGCCAGCCCTGAAGCTCTGCGGAATCTTCTTAATGCGCCCTTTTGGGCTGAATCTCATCTCACGTCTTACTTGGCGATGGCAGGGGTTCTGACTCTTGTTTGACGAGTTGCAGTGCAAGGAAGAGGGTGATCAATCCACCCACTTGGGTGGTGGCGTTTCCCAGCCAGGCTTTTCGCATCTCATCACGGAAGCGAAAGCAAGAAAGAGATTGGACAGAAAGCGACACTTTTTCCGCGCAAGCTCATGCGGTAGCCCTTGGAGCTCACTTTTGACGAGCACTGACACACACACACACACACAGTCACACAGTCCGCAGCACAGTGCCTCCCACCCCCGAGCTGAGAATTTGCACCCAGGTGATGGGCAAGGTATGCTGAGTGCCTGCTTCATGCACTCTGCGCGCATAACTTGCGCATGCAAGGCTGAGAAACAGGCCTTTGGTAAACGAGGCCAACGAGGTTTCATAACGCGCTTTGTTGCGGAGCACGGCGGAAGCCAAAAAGTTAAACAGGCCAGGAGAGGATGTTTAGAACAATCCTTATGTGTTTGTTGCCACGGACCCCTCCTGTTGTGCACTTCTGCAAGTCGTTCGATGGCTTAGTGCATGTCAGTTACATTGCATTTTGACAAAAGCACAACTTTGAGTTGGCATGCGGCCGTGGGTCAACACCAATGGTACCATTTTGGGGTAGGTGCACACCCATTTTAGTCTATTTTAGTTGGGATTGGGATGTTGACTGGGGGTAAAGCTGCGGCCAGGCCAAGGCCATCAAGTTGCGGATTGAGAAGCTGGAGCTATGAGTCAGGCCACATTTTCGCAGGTGCGAGTCTGCCTTTTGAGGGTCCCACGTATCAAGAAGACGCGGGATGACATTGGATTGCAAACATGACATTGTTGTTTTTTGAGGTCTGATTGCTTGGCTTGATGTTCGAAGGGTTTTCGCATAGTAGACTTATGTAGGCTTAGTGGTCGTAGAAGCTTGGATAGGCACCACCTGGCCGCAAGCACAATAGTCCACAAAGGATGGAGCCACATACAGCGGCTTGAGCGGAGCGATCCGGACAAAATGCGGCGCATGCTCGGACAAGAATACTAGTGAGTGAAGTCCTCCCCAAGTTTCACCGCAACAAACAATATCTCCGGCCATCCTCCAGCCCGCACCTCGTGTCCAAAAGGTTTAGATGCTGTGATGGACTGGGGCAAGCACCAAGGTCTACTCTCAGTGGACGTCTTTCTTGGACTTGCTGGCAGGTGTGCAGCGCTGAGGTTTGCTATGCGGTTTGTCCATTAAGCCGGGCCGCATGGCACATGACATCCTGGAACATTGGAAGAAAGCAGTTTTGCTCTGACAGTTCGTGCAGACCACGTATTTTGTCCAAATATGGGGCCATTTCACCACCCAAGTGTGGCTTGACATGACTCCCCAGTTCAGACGTGCTCTCATTCTTGTTGTGGCTCTCATATTCATTGAGCCTTGGCGGCCTCGGTGCCTGTCTTCCTGAACCGTGCTGGGTAGATGCTCAGGCGCTAGAAGGAGCAGGAATCCGGCACAAGAAATTCGCACCTCGTCGCATGCAGTGCTTTTTGGTCTTGGGGATAAGTTAAGAGGTTGGGGGCTTTGGTAGGGTTGGGCAGAACTGGCTTGAGCAGCTAACATGCATTTGTATGTAAAGCTGCTCCCACAAGTATAACGTCTATACGGCAATGTTCTGCACCTGATGCACACGCAAGAAGAGAGATACTTAGATGTAGCTTTATTAACAAACCAGAATACTACGCGCGGTGGTGGTTCTTACATTCAAAAAATGCAGTGGTGATTCTAGAATATGTTGCAACGAGGTGTGGGCTGGCTTCACGAAGTCCAGAAGTGTCAATAGAGATGGCTTGCAATGGGCAGTAGCGAACTAGTTTAGGCATGTTTTGTACTTCTTCTTGCAGCACGAGAGCTTTGGCTGGCTGTACACCTTGCAGCTGTATTGCTGCGTCTCATTCGCTCCTGCTGCGTGCGTCACTCAGGATGGATCATTAAGCGAGGCGCCAAGACGGGGTTCATTGAATGTTGTCTTTGCACGGAAGCTAGTGCAAATCAATGCAAGTCCATTGGGGAAACGCCGATGGAGATAACGAAGGAGACGGAGCTGTGCTGCATTTCTTTTTGTACACGGGTCGCTATCTGGCTGAGACAGTTTCTCACCTTACTGGGGTAGTTCAGGACCTGCATGCGATGCCTTTAGGCCTAGCTCATCGCCAAAAATTCGAGGGGGATGGAGCTTTGTTTCCAAGGTTTGGAGGAGCGAGCTGCCCGCGTGGCCTGGCTGGGAGAAGAAGCCCAAGGCATCCCTGGTGTCGGTCAGTTTTTGAGGCACGCCGGATGGCAGGCTGTGTCCATGCAGAAAGGGCTTTGTACAGTTTCCAAGATCGACTTTGCGTCTGGGCCCTCGGATTCGGAGCAACGAAAAAGCCCTTTCGCATTCCAGGCGCTGCGGCAGCCCGTGTGGCGGACTCATGCACACCCCGCCGAGTAAGCGAGCAACTTGAGCAACTGGCCGAAGCCGATGGACCGATGGACCCGAGATCGATGTGCAGACTCTGAGGTGCTGCTGGTGTCACTCAAAGCTGGAGGCACAGGCCAGGTGTCTCGCGTGCAACCAACGAACGGCGGCATCGCGCACCTCTTTCTGACGACTTCCAAGAACACAACACGAAATGTTTGGGGGGGGGGGGGTAAGAAATGCTCACTCTGTGCGTGTGTGTTTGTGTGTCTCTGTGCGCTTGTTTATGTGTTTGCGTGTTTGTGTGCGTGTGTCCCATGATGGCGGGTTTTTTCCTTGCGTGAGCGTTCTTTTTGCTTCACACATGGCTGGCTGTGTGAACACACGCTTGCAAGAGGGAGGGGAATGCACAGGTCTCAACTTGGTGGCAGCCTCACGCCTGTATCTCATGGACCTTTGGTGGAATCCGGCGCGAGCCTCAGCGAGCCCAGATTTAGCCTCAGCTCGCAAGGGCAAAAGCTTGCTTTCGCCGTGGTTGACGCAGAAGCGTACTTGTATCACAAGCATGCACTGACGCCACACTGAAACAAAGTGAAAGCTGCAATAGTAAGTATAGTGTCATGTTTACAGTACATGCTTCTGGATTCACTAAAAACCTTCTGGCACCTGCGTTATCGTTTTGCAGCCCGCCCTGGCTCAAGAGACGCAGTCATTCGTTGCCAAGCCCACCCGCCCACACATCGTCATGTCCTGCGCCGCGCCTAGCGCAGGATTCGGCGGCAACGCGCCGCGCTTTGACCTTGAGAGCGGCTTTCAGGGCTTTCAGGGCATCAGCGCACAGCAGGTTCGTTTGGGCTTTATCCGGAAGGTCTATGGCATCGTTTGCACCCAGGTGGTGGCTACGGCCGTGTTTGCGGCGCTGTGCTGCGGACCGCTGAGACATCCTGTGGTCGGCTTCGTGATGCACTGGCCCAATGTCTTCCGCTGGGGCTCCCTCATCGCCACTGGCTTGGCCCTGCTGGTCTGCCACACCGGAAAGAACAGCTATCCCATGAATTTTGTTGGGCTTTGCGCTCTCACAGCTGTCATGGCCTTCGATGTGGGTGCCATCTCGGCAATGTGCGCTGCCAATGGCATGGGAGCATTGGTGGCCCAGGCGGCGGTGATTACGGCACTGGTCACCGCAGGGCTTACCATCTACACCTTCCGCTCCAAGCGCGACTTCTCCTTTCTGGGGGCTGCTTTGTGGCCCTTGGCCTTCGGTCTGTTTGGCTTCAGCTTGCTCGGCATGATCTTCCCCTCCCTGCACACGGGGTTCATGGGCCTGTTGGTGTCCTTTGCGGGGGCCGCCATCTTCTGCGCCTACCTGGTCTATGACACGTGGCGAATCGCCCATGAGATGGAGGTGGACGATTACGTGGAGGGCGCTATCCAGATCTACATGGACATTGTGAACATTTTCCTGTACATCTTGGAAATCCTGATGCAGATGAGCAAGGGAAATGACAACAACTAGCTAACTAGCTGAGCTGTATGCTGCGTGCGTGCAAAGACTTAGAGCAATTCGAAGCAAGGACATTTTATTCATTCTACTCTCTGCTGCGTTTTGTTCACCCGCAGCACTCTGATTTTGATCCGCTGGACTCACGGATACTCGCGGACAGGTGCCAGCCAGAGTTCGATGGAGTTATTCAGCGCGCATTTTGTTTCGCTGATGTACAGGGTTTGGCACGCCGGAGGGCGGGGGTCAAGTATTAAGTGTTTGGCTCCCCGCTGCTCTGAAACCATACCTCAGAGGCCCGCACAGAGCCAAATATCATGATGCTGCGTGCAAAGTACTTGGGTTTGGATATGCATCCCGCGGGCAGGGGAAGAACAATGCAATTCTTACGCGGCATTGGCACCTGCGTTATTTCTTTGCAGCCCGCCCTGCTCAAGAGACGCAGTCATTCGTTGCCAAGCCCACCCGCCCACACATCGTCATGTCCTGCGCCGCGCCTAGCGCAGGATTCGGCGGCAACGCGCCGCGCTTTGACCTTGAGGGCGGCTTTCAGGGCTTTCAGGGCATCAGCGCACAGCAGGTTCGTTTGGGCTTTATCCGGAAGGTCTATGGCATCGTTTGCACCCAGGTGGTGGCTACGGCCGTGTTTGCGGCGCTGTGCTGCGGACCGCTGAGACATCCTGTGGTCGGCTTCGTGATGCACTGGCCCAATGTCTTCCGCTGGGGCTCCCTCATCGCCACTGGCTTGGCCCTGCTGGTCTGCCACACCGGAAAGAACAGCTATCCCATGAATTTTGTTGGGCTTTGCGCTCTCACAGCTGTCATGGCCTTCGATGTGGGTGCCATCTCGGCAATGTGCGCTGCCAATGGCATGGGAGCATTGGTGGCCCAGGCGGCGGTGATTACGGCACTGGTCACCGCAGGGCTTACCATCTACACCTTCCGCTCCAAGCGCGACTTCTCCTTTCTGGGGGCTGCTTTGTGGCCCTTGGCCTTCGGTCTGTTTGGCTTCAGCTTGCTCGGCATGATCTTCCCCTCCCTGCACACGGGGTTCATGGGCCTGTTGGTGTCCTTTGCGGGGGCCGCCATCTTCTGCGCCTACCTGGTCTATGACACGTGGCGAATCGCCCATGAGATGGAGGTGGACGACTACGTGGAGGGCGCTATCCAGATCTACATGGACATTGTGAACATTTTCCTGTACATAATGGAAATCCTGATGCAGATGAGCAAGGGAAATGACAACAACTAGCTAACTAGCTGAGCTGTATGCTGCGTGCGTGCAAAGACTTAGAGCAATTCGAAGCAAGGACATTTTATTCATTCTACTCTCTGCTGCGTTTTGTTCACCCGCAGCACTCTGATTTTGATCCGCTGGACTCACGGATACTCGCGGACAGGTGCCAGCCAGAGTTCGATGGAGTTATTCAGCGCGCATGTTGTTTCGCTGATGTACAGGGTCTGGCACGCCGGAGGGCGGGGGTCAAGTATTAAGTGTTTGGCTCCCCGCTGCTTTGAAACCATACCTCAGAGGCCCGCACAGAGCCAAATATCATGATGCTGCGTGCAAAGTACTTGGGTTTGGATATGCATCCCGCGGGCAGGGGAAGAACAATGCAATTCTTACGCGGCATTGGCACCTGCGTTATCGTTTTGCAGCCCGCCCTGGCTCAAGAGACGCAGTCATTCGTTGCCAAGCCCACCCGCCCACACATCGTCATGTCCTGCGCCGCGCCTAGCGCAGGATTCGGCGGCAACGCGCCGCGCTTTGACCTTGAGGGCGGCTTTCAGGGCTTTCAGGGCATCAGCGCACAGCAGGTTCGTTTGGGCTTTATCCGGAAGGTCTATGGCATCGTTTGCACCCAGGTGGTGGCTACGGCCGTGTTTGCGGCGCTGTGCTGCGGACCGCTGAGACATCCTGTGGTCGGCTTCGTGATGCACTGGCCCAATGTCTTCCGCTGGGGCTCCCTCATCGCCACTGGCTTGGCCCTGCTGGTCTGCCACACCGGAAAGAACAGCTATCCCATGAATTTTGTTGGGCTTTGCGCTCTCACAGCTGTCATGGCCTTCGATGTGGGTGCCATCTCGGCAATGTGCGCTGCCAATGGCATGGGAGCATTGGTGGCCCAGGCGGCGGTGATTACGGCACTGGTCACCGCAGGGCTTACCATCTACACCTTCCGCTCCAAGCGCGACTTCTCCTTTCTGGGGGCTGCTTTGTGGCCCTTGGCCTTCGGTCTGTTTGGCTTCAGCTTGCTCGGCATGATCTTCCCCTCCCTGCACACGGGGTTCATGGGCCTGTTGGTGTCCTTTGCCGGGGCCGCCATCTTCTGCGCCTACCTGGTCTATGACACGTGGCGAATCGCCCATGAGATGGAGGTGGACGACTACGTGGAGGGCGCTATCCAGATCTACATGGACATTGTGAACATTTTCCTGTACATCTTGGAAATCCTGATGCAGATGAGCAAGGGAAATGACAACAACTGACTGAGCCACGTGGGTATCAGGTGACGACTTACAACATCAATTCAGAGCAAGGGCATTTTACACAGCAGTGCTGCGTTTTTTCCATCCGCGGCTTGCTGGTTTTGATCCGTTCATGCACTGGACGGCAGGTGCCAGCCAATTGGAGTTCGGTTCAGCATGCAAATGGTTTGCTTCGCTGATGTACAGGGTTTGGCACGCCGGGGGGTGGGAGAGTCAGATATTGCTTCCCGCTGCCCTGAAACCATGTTGCGGTGGCTACACAGAGCCAAGAAAAGTATCAACACAGGCTGCTCAAATTCGACGTTGATTGGAGCCAATTTTTTTTTGGAGAACATTAGCCGTATGTGGAGCAACTTGGGAACACACACACACAAGCAGGGATATCTTGAATTCGCTAATTGATCATGTCGTTCCTGGCAGTCAAGCGTTTTCGCCGGCCCCAACCAGTTGCAACGTTGACAGCTGTGGCTAATTGTTGTTCGCATCTTATCCAAAGTGTTTCCATGGCGAGCTCTCATACTTCACGGTGGTTTTAGTAGAGCCAGTAAGGTGGCTTCCAGTAAATGTCCCAAGGTGTTTCGTTGATTGCGCCCGTCAGACTCTTGCGCTCCTTTAAACCGGGTACTCGATAAAAAAACACAACCATGACTTAGGCGGTTGAGGAGCAGGCCATCCAGCGGGTGCATCGCATCGGCCAGCAGCCAGCTCAGACACAAGTCGATTCAGGGTTCAGATTGCAGCTTAGCAAGAAGAACCCACCTACGGGATTGAAGCAGTGCCATGCTTGTTGTGGACGAGATTTCTTCTTCTGTATCAATCGCTTGCATCTCCGCGGGCTGGTGGTTTTCAGCCCGTGGCGTCTCACTGCTTGACCTGGCACAGGAAGCAGGAAGTGTACATCTACAAGTTTGTCGTTGAGGCTGGGTCCGGCAGTTGTGCCCCCCACTCAGGCGTTGGTACTGCAGTTGGGGCTGTTACAGTACACTGTGGTGGGGCATGCTGGGGCTGGGATATATGTTCCTGCCCCCGCCTAGGACTACCATCTCCCATGAATCAGGATCAAGCAACACATTGGCGTCCGTCTAGGCAACATCAGAGCAGGCATACGCAGGCTGCGAAGAGTGCGAACGCCCCTACCCTTTTGAAGTTCATTCAGCTGTGCATGTGGTGTTTGACCCTTGCAAGGGCACAGGGCAGGCTGCATTTATGTGTTTGCCGTTCCCCTTCAGTCCTACGAACTTTCCTTCAGCGTTGCAACCAAAAAGGTCCTTTCATCGAATCGTATTGTGCGCAAGCCGCAAGATAGGCGCCGGCTCCATGAGTTCTCTCCCGCCTTGTCCAAGTCTTCAAGGCCTTGAAGCCTTCGGATGCAAGCCGTTCGAACAGGACACCATCGACCTCGACTTGTTGGAGCTGCACAAGGCCAAGGAGCGCCTCTTGGAAGATGCGGGGCACCCAAGGTCCATGGACATCCAAAAGGATGCTCCCAGGGCCTACGCCTGTGCAGCATCTATTACCTGAAGCATGTGCCATTTGGACTTCTTATTGGTGTGTGTGTATGGGTCTTTGCCAACTCGCCGACCTGATGTCCTAGAGCCTGCGATGACCAGGAAGAAATCGCCGCAAAACGCAAACCAAGATGATCCGGGAAGGGGGGTGAGGGCCGCATCTCAATATCAAGCAGTGCCGTTTGAGTTTGGTCGAAGTGTCCCCGCCTTGCAGTGGTCACATTTGGCTCAAGAACGTTTGGGATATGGTTCCAGGTGAAGGAATGATGATTGGAAAGCTTACATGAACCACATTCAACCACTACCTGGGGCATGGCTGGTCATTTTTTTCTTCTCTTTTTTTTTCCGCTTTTAGCTGAGGCTCTCAGTGGCGGTCGTCATCAAGAAACCTCCAAGCTTACGGTGGATGACCTAAAGCGCCGCCCGACTCAGAAGTGTTTTTGAGGACTTGCAATTGGCATGGACAGCTGGATGGAGCTGACTCCAATTCCAACCCAGGGCAAAGAATTCGGGGGGGGCACCTTCCGCAAGTGAGCCCTTTGTTCCATGTGACTGGCAGTGCTGGATGATACTCAATGGCTCGACCTTGGGGACCTGACAGCTTGGAAAGCACTCAGATGCCACAAGGCAAGTTGGAGGAACAACCCACGAGATTTGGTTGTTCAATCAGCAACCAGTAGCATTCACACAGGGAAAGGATTCCTTAGCCGCTCCATGAGTTTTGGCCAACGGTTGGGGCGGAGCTGAGGACTGTTCAATCCATGCCGGTCCTCACTCCGCGGCTTGAAAGCTGGAGGCGAACAAAGTGGCTGCTGGGAAATGTTGTTCCAGGCCAACCCTGCAGGGCAGAGCCCGAGGAAGTCTCAACCAAAGACAATCAAACCTGAAACTTGGCAGCAGACAAGAGCAAGCAGTATAGGCAGCATGCAGGGTGAAGCGGATTGGTTCTGCACGTGTTACCCAAAGTGAACGGGGAGATAGTTCCTCCCCCAGCTAGGGCAATGCATTCTGCCATTGGGCCATCGCCAAACTTGGTTGAGGGGCGTGCATGCAGAATGGAAACGCATGGCACGGATTCAATCCGCATGAGGGCTTGCCAATGCACATTTACAACCTCAGAGATTTAGACATGGCTCGCATTTTGACTTGCGTCAATGATGTGATGTCAAACATGGTAAAGTGTAAAGCATGTTGTGAGCTTCAAGTGATGCTTCCAACCAAGCAGGACTTATAGATGTTTGGCGCCGTGCTGTGCCTTTGGGCAACGCAAGTCAGCGCAATGTGAGGGTGGCAAAAATGAGCCTTCAGTGAGGCTCGCCTCAAACATGCGTTGGTAGATGTTTTCCTTGATGGTTTCATGTTTCCTGTTCGGCGGAAGGCAGGCATGCGTCGATTTCAATGCCCCAGCTCCCAGGTGCTGAGCCAAAGGCGGGGACTGGGACGGTAAGGTTCGGCGCCATGGCGCCAGGAGCGCAGGCGAGCCACTCCAAACCCCGTTCCGATTGAGGAGCGAAACCTGCAGAGTTGACTATTTGCAGTCCAAATCATCAGTTCTTCATGAATCTGTCCTCAAAAGTTAGCCCTGGCCCCTGGTAATGGGCTGCTGGGTTTCAGTTTGATCTTAGACATCCCTGTTGTGTGCCTGCGTTGCCGTGGGTTGCCGTGCGATGTCAGAAAGGGCATACGGCTGGGCAGCGACGGCTCGAGGGACGCACGGGCTTGGCTGCAATGAGTAAGACAATCACTTGCATTCGTCACTGTCAGCAACCGTGAATTGGTTGACACTATGAAATTATCCCTACTTGGTAGTTGTGTTGATCAAGCCAGTTGATATTCCATGAATTGTAGAAAGGTGTTGAGTATTGTTGAGCAGCGGGTCATTGCAAAATAATGACGCTAAGCAAAACTGGGTCATGCCCTCTGGATAAGAGCCACCGCCAACGCAGCCATATCATCATTATTTGGCAAGTTCATCTTGGTCGGTCCCTCTCAAGTGTTTAGTATTTGTAGTTTGCCAACACGGATTTTTCTTTGAACACTGGGCAATTGCGGCCACGGGCTGCTGCCATGAGTTATCCGGAGGCACGGACTTTTGAATCTCGACTGAACTTTGTACGTGGCCACATTGAAAACGCGTTTGAGCACTGCATTTGCTTTGCAAGCCTGTGTTGGCAAGCTGCGCAAGTCAATTTCGTTTCCTGCGCGTTGGCATGCTTGAGCATCTTTTTGCTCAGGAAGCGAGTCCTCGACTCTTCAATGAAAAGACGAGGCAGGGCAAACCAAGGCCAAAGTGGCTGGGAGTTCGGTTCAAAGGGGCGCCGCTGTGAGTTGTGAGTTGCGCTTCGCAGTTCGGAAGTGAAGTGCAGGAGGATGGAGTATGACTTCTTCGTGGGCAGGGACCCCAAGTTCGTGGCAACCATTGCAAAGTTGCTAGAGAAGGACCGGTGACCAGCAATGCGGCAGCAGGGGGGGGGGGGGTCGGGGTTGCGTTGCCCCTGCAAGGAGACCTTTCAGAAGCAGGATTTCCTCTTCAGCGAGGGTGAGACTGGTTTCAGCATGTGCCTGGGCAACAATCTGCTGTTCACGAGCCTCTTTAGCAGCCACTTTCTGGAACATGCAGCGCGGTCATGACACCATGCTGGACCTACGAAGGCATTTGCTGCAAGTACGTCAAAGTGGGGCACGGAGGATTGCAGACAACAGAGTAGATAATTAGTCTCTGTTTTATGGTTTCTTGTTTAATCCCCTTCTCAACGGCTGCTCAGCACAGCTTCACGCTTGCTCCAAGGTACTTAATCTCCTCAGGAAGCGTCGTCGTTTGCAAAGGCAAAGACGCCACCGAGGTGGAAATCATGTCACGAGGAGGGTCCGGACGGCCTTGCACCTTTGTCACTTGCTTTGCCAGGTTACTTTCAGGATCTTGCTGAGTTTTGTTCCCAAAAATAGCGCGGCTTTGAGAGGGGACCTGCCTGACGTGTCCAGTCCAGGAGTGCCCTTGAGTGTATGTATGGTGGCTAGTTGTTAGGGTGCTGGCTGTCGCGGGTGTGCCCATCACCCTCACACGTGAGCACCTGCCAAGGCGCCCTCACAGATTGTTGCACCGGGATGAGAGGCAGCACCACAAACAGCAAAGCCCGAACGAGAAAGACTTTGGGTCAAGGTGTCCCTGAAACTGAAACCATCAACTTCCATGAAAGCTGTCTTTGTTTCCAGTTGCATTCAAGAATCGCCAGGAAAGAGTTGTGGGGAGCTCGCGCTCTTCGGGTTCTCTCGGCGCAGCTCAACAGCAGTGGCACGGGAGCACACGGCGCCCTGGCCGAGTCTCTCGTTGGGAGCGCTGGTTTGGGCCAGTGGGACGGTTTTGGGTCAGCTGGGCCTCGCGTCTAGAACCATCTGACCACATACTCCATGTTTGGTTTTTGTCAATGCCGTTCGAGGCCATGAGGCTCGAACAGGTTGGCAAGGCGTGACAAAAGCAGGGGGTAGTCCGGTAGCCACGAGATGAGCACCTTTCCAGCCCCAAGGTGTGCTTTGTCCTGAAGAACCGCGTGTTCCAGGCTGTGTTGGAGAGGCCTGGGGCAAAAAGCTTCTTTGCAGCTTAGCAGCTGGCCACTCGCGAATGCAAGTATTCGCAGGTTTCCGGCCGAAAAAGCCTACTTCGCCCAGGTTGCGGCCCGCAAGAAAAAGGCGGGGTGAGTTTTAAGCGTGGAAAGACATGTTTGTCTCAAAGTGAGAATGGAATGGAAAGGGAGAAATGCACGGGGACAAATATATCTTAGTCACAATCATGGAATGTGAATGGAGAACCTGTTTGTACTACCCCATGCTAATTGGTATCAGCTGTGCACACTCCAGAGCGTAATGCGACGACATGAGCACCACACAACTGCTCCACGGATGGTGGGTATCGCCATAACACCCAACCAACCATCACAACCGCAGCTTGACTTTGACAGGATAAGACTGGGCCCGTTGGCCCATTCGTTAGTTTGCAAAGCATGGCATGCATGAATCGCTCTTTTGCGGATTCAGATCTCGGTGGAGCCAGGGGCCCGGCTTTTTTTTTTTTTTCAGGAGCTCAGGCATATCGCAGAAGCGCCCCGTCCACGGAGAAAGGGCGTGCGCCATCTCCGGACATCGACGGCGTGGAAAGGGGACTCCTCAGGCAGGCGAACAGATCAGCTCCCACTCCTTCCCATGAAAACAACTTCCGGGATGAGGAGCAGCTTGTACTTGTCGCCTCCACTGCTCATAAATGGATCCTTCGCAAAGTGCATGGATGTGAGACCATGCCAGCGACTTGGAACACCTCATTCTGGGAGGCACGATTTCTTTGCAGGAGGGGTGGTTGGATGATTTGTTTTGTTCGCAAAGATACCTGCAGCAAGGTCCTTAGGCAGAGTGAAAACTCTGCAGAGCGCAGGTGAAGATTCGGATCGAGATGCCACAGACGACCCCGCGCCCATCATGCCGGATGATGAGGCAGCCCCGTTGCCGGACACCGAGATCCCAGGCTCTTACCCGACGATGAAGCGCTTGTACCCAGGCTGCAGGGCCTTGAAGGTGCTGCAAGGAAGCCAGTAAGATGCAAATAGATGCCCCACTGAAATTGAGCACAAGTTTGGCAACCCAGCACAATCAATCAATCAATCAATCAATCAATCAATCAATCAATCAATCAATCAATCAATCAATCAACCAATCAACCAATCAACCAATCAACCAATCAACCAATCAACCAATCAACCAATCAACCAATCAACCAGCAAACCAACCAACCCACCAACCAACCAACCAACCAATCAATCAAGCAATCAAGCAATCGGTCAATCGGTCAATGCATCAATGAATCAAACAATGAAGTACTGAGGCAATGACGCAATCAACGAAACAGATTTAATGAATGATTTGGATTGGATTGGATTGAAGTGAATGGAAGGAAGGGGGACGGAAGGACGGACGGAAGGACGGAAGGAAGGACGGAAGGACGGAAGGAAGGAAGGAAGGAACGACGGAAGGACGGAAGGACGGAATGCATGAACAAATGCATGACTGAATGAAGCAATGAACCAAGGAATCCGTGAAACCAAGGACCAATGGTTGGGTAAAGGAACGAATCAGTTACTCAGGCAGTCAGTCAGTCAGTCAGGCTCAGTCAGCCGTTCAGTCAGCCCTTCAGTCAGTCAGTCAGTTAGCCAATCAGTCAATCATTCTCAATCTCAATCTCAATCAGTCAATCAATGAATCAATCGTCAGCCATTCAGTCAACCAACCAACCAACCTAATCAATCAGTCAAGCAATGAAACAAGCAATCAAGCAATCACACAGAAAATAGCACAGTCAATGAACAACAACAACATAGCACCATCAAACAATAAATGCAGCGAGCAAGCACCCAATCAAGCAAGCAAGCAAGCAAGCAAGCAAGCAAGCAAGCAAGCAAGCAAGCAAGCAAGCAAGCAAGCAAGCAAGCAAGCAAGCAAGCAAGCAAGCAAGCAAGCAAGCAAGCAAGCAAGCAAGCAAGCAAGCAAGCAAGCAAGCAAGCAAGCAAGCAAGCAAGCAAGCAAGACACAATGCAAAAACACGTGCGCGCGCGCACACACACACACAAACTCACACAGACAGAGACCACGCACGCGCGCACACACACATATTAAGAGGAAGATCCTTTGAGCTGAAATATCACATGTGCATGCGCTGACATGGCAGAACAAAGCACAGCAACAGCACAAGGGGGGCGCTAACAGCACGACAAACAAGACCAGACATTGGAGCTGCGCCCACTGCATGTCCAACACATGGAATTTCGAATGGGGCTGTGTGGCTCACCAGGACCCGCTGCCCCCTGATCACAAGCCTCCCGAGCCGGCCGACTCCAAAGAGAAGACGCACAAAGACAAAGAAGGCAAGAAACAAGAAAACGTCGGTCTTCCAGGAGGGTCTATACACACACACACACACGGCCAAATTTCAGGATGATGTGCGCCCGCCGCCCGCCGCCAAAAAAGAAGCCCAGGCGCAGTATGAGGGACACGGGCCCCAAGCTGCAACAATATGGCCACCTCCGTTGAACCCTGCAATTTGGTCATTTCATTGTTCCACTCTTACATCACTCGACCCAGCTGCTGCTAGCCAAGGAGCGTCCTAGACCTCTGCGCGCCACATCGGAATGGCCCAGAGCAACTGGCGCCGCTGCCCAAGGCCGGGCCGCGTGCGTCAAGGGGCACCTTGGAGCTCAGTGTGCACTATGGGCGATTGATGCGTTGCGTCCATGATTCAAATGATGTGTCCTTTGTTTGGGCTACTCTCCCGCATGGTTTAGCTGGGAGTTCGAAGCATGTTTGTGCGGGGAGGCTAGTGGGAGTACACGAATTATTCTTCAGGGTTTGTTCGTGCTGGTCCGCCTGCCAGCTTTTGCAAGCGTCCA